AAAAAGAGAAATTATTAATCATCAGAACATGGAAATGGTTTGACATATAGTTTTTAATGCAATATTTAAAATGCTATTCTAAACAACAGTGTTGAAAGATGTCAGAGATTTTACATTAATAGATAAAATAAACATTTTAATGTTACAGCACTGACAGGCAGCAGCAGTGTTTAGCTACCTGTTAGCTGCTAGCTTACTTTACAATCAGAGACTGTTTCCTTACACAGTTACAGAATGGTAAATTGATAAAGATGGATAACGTTACCACAGCTAACTAACACATAAATACTGTTTTTATTAACCTTACCTTGTGCTATATCTTGTAATTTAATCTCCATAAATAAAGGTTGAATGAATGAAATTCCGTGAAGTTTACAGACAGGTCTCCCGAGGGAGAATAGACCCGGAAGTACTGATCAACATCGAGTCAGAACGTCAGTTGTCTGACGTCATGTGAAAAGACTGCGTGTTTGAATGAATAAAGTATAAACAAACCTTTTCTTTCTTCCTCTTCTTCTTGTGAGATTTATTTGCGGTTGGAAAACATCTTTCTTCCTCCAAGTTTATTTTATGATTTGTTGTTTGTTCGACTGCCCCTAGTGGTCTGGAGCACTTCCGTTTTTGTGGAGGAGTTTGCGTGTCTTCCACTGTTTGCAGCGTTTTTCTGTTTGTCTTGTCATTTGTGTTTGCATGTGTGTTTATTTTAGTTTGCGTTTTATTTTTTTTTGTGTTTGCATTTGTTGTTTGTGTTTGCATCTTTCTTGTGTTTGCGTGTTTTTTTGTGTTTGCATGTGTTTTTTGTTTGTGTTTGCATTTGATTTTTTTTGTGTTTGTTTTTGTGTTTGCATTTTGTTTGTGTTTGCATTTGATTTTTTTTGTGTTTGTTTTTGTGTTTGCATTTTGTTTGTGTTTGCGTGTTTTTGAGTTTGCAACATACATGTGTTTGTTGCGTGTTTCGCCGTTTGCTGTGCATTTGCACATGTCGGCCACCGTACTGAAGACCCACAATAAGTGAAAAACTGCAAAGTAGGAATACTAGTACAAGCAGTAGTTTATTTTATTATATATACACTGTATATATATATATTTATATATATATATATATATATATATATATATATATATATACACTGTATATATATATATATATATATATATATATATATATATATATATATATACACACACACACAAATTAAGTGTTTTAAACCCTTCCCACACTCTTGCAATATTGTAATCAATGTTTCCAAACCCTACACGCTCTAAAAGAGCACAGAATGTCATGATTTCAGCTTCCTGCCTCCTCTGCTCTTTACCACCTGAAGGGCTCTTGGCCACGCCCACTTCTCCGCTCTGCAGGTGAACAGCTGATCAGCTGCAGCAGAAAGTTTATCCTGCATAGGGCTGCACAATGATGCAGGAGGAAGCTTTTTCTGCTGCTCTGGGCTGCACAAATGTGTGGCAGGTGCTAAATAATTTTAAATAATTCATTTTAAATAAAAATTCCATGCTGATCGTGTGACTCATCCATCAATCAGCCAATTGTGTGTCATATCCAATCTTATTTTGAAAAACCACAATACAGCGAGTCCGCGATAAACGAACCACGAAGTAGCGAGGGACTACTGTATTGGATAAACACCAAAAACTGATTAACTTTTGGAGTGTATCCTATTCAAGATGGCCGCCACAGCTAATGTGGCACTTTTACAGATATTCAGCTATAACTTGGTGTGGTTGGAGTTGTGAATTATCTCCAACACATACTCCAAGAGTTACACAAAGCACAAGATCTTTGTTGTTTAAACTATTAGCATAAACCCTGTTTTTTGTTTGTTTGTTTTTTGTTAACAAAATATCTCATAACCCATGGACCAATCCAAAAATGGTTCTGCCAAAGTTCCCTTTACAGATACTGAGTTAGTCTGGTGGTGTTGTAGCTGAGACTTATCCTCAACACATAGTCAAAGTGTTCTACAGAGCAAAAGTCTAGATGAGATTTATTATGAGCAAACGTGAACATCTGAATAAGACGGTTTTAACCCTTTAACTTTATGACTATTCAAGTTCCTCAGGGGGAAATCAACCACCTTATTAAACTGCTTAAAAATACTTGTTAAAAAAAATGTATCCACAAAAAAAACAGTCAGTCTTCTAGAGCTGTTTCAATCTGAAATCAAAATATCTAATTTAAAGGATTTTTTAAACACTTTATGTTGTTGATTTTTTAACTCTACACTAGATAGTTTTTTTTTTATTGATAAAATATTTATTTAACAGTATTTATTTTTTCAGTGGGTATTTCCCTCCATTAGTAGCCCTCTAGCTCAACATCCACATCCTCCTCTGTTCTCCAGAGCTCAGAACTGATGCTTGGTTCTGTTGGTCCAGTCAGAGGGGTTCTGGACCTCAGGGGCTCAGTGCTCTCTTCCTCTTCTAAAACAAATCATGATCACCGTCTTCATCAATGAAGTCCTCACTGTCTGATTCAGACTGTTTTGCTCCTTCATTAGCCTCTCCTCTGTGTACGAGGTTCTGACTCGGCGGTTCTGTCCTCCTCTGCATCTGCAGCTCCGTCCGCCTCATGTTCAAAAATTGTCTAATTGTTTTTACTCAAACACACTAAAACTGACTAAACACTAAACACACTCATCTCCACCCTAACTATAAAACACAAGCACGCTAAATCTCTCAAACCTCATGACTCACTCCCGCTCACGTCTTTATCGCACCAAACTCCATTCAACTTCTACATCTTTTTTTATCTTCTTCCTGTGGATTTTTTGGTGCTTGACAAATAACTTCCAGCCTCCATCAAAAAGGAGGAGGGAGGTTGTTTATCTGTTCGGCGGGGGTGGGAGGTGAAAGTGGAGGGAGATTGGGTGTTTTGTCTTTGAGACTGCCTGTTTATGCTGCAGCCTCTCGCTCTAATGCACTTCAGACATGACAATGATTTTGAAAAAAAAGTGGCGTGGATTATTTATCATAACTCTGGTTTTGCTTAGCCTATCAACACGATTTTAAAACTGTTGTGTAGAATAAAGTCTGTACTTTCGACTAAGTCAAATAACTTCTCTGAGAGGCAGTGTCATTCCCGCTAGAGCAACTGAAATTGATCATGTGACTATCACGTGCTGGCATGTCGACTGGCACCAAAGGGGGAAAAAGCACGTCAGTAAGAGTAGGCAGCTCCAGATACTTGAGTAGGCAGTGAAATTGCTGCCCACCGCCTGTTTTTGAGAAGACGGCAACAGTGTCTTTCTCTGTGCCGCTCTCTCACTAAGAAAGTGGTGAGCAACCCAGGCAACAGTTGATTTATGCTCAGTCTCCCCCGTGTCACCTGCTGAAGCTTGTAACTACAGTAGTTCAGAGTGGTCACAGGTGTTTTGGTGGCCGCTCTTACTATTTTCTTTCTTTCTTGTCTCTCAGTTTGTGAGGACAACCTGCTCTTGGTAGTCTAACAAAGGTGGACGGATTAAAAAAATTTAAATTAAATTAAAAAATTTAAAACTTGTTGAAATGTTTCATCTTTACTAAACTCAGTTTTATAAACAGACTGCTGCTCTTGGTAGATTTACACATGTCCCATATTCCTTCTATTTCTTGATTTTGGATTTAAGGGAACTGCTGGGGATGTTTAGGGCCTTAGCAATCCTTCTGTATCCATCCCCTGACTTGTACTTTTCAAAAATCTTCTCTCTGAGCTCAATTAAGACAATCACTTAAAAGGGGTGACTATTTTATTTTAAGTTACATATTTATACTTCATTGGTATTACTCTGTAAAAATTAGATTTTACTTTGAATTTTTTTTGTAAAGGCTTTTTATAGGCACTGTGTGCTCAGAGAATTCTCACAACATGCGAGATGTGGCTGTGGCAGCCATCTAGAATAAAAACTTTGTCATAAAAAACTGGTCATTATATATTCCTTCAAGGAATGCTTGGTCTTTAAATATATATATATTTTTTATATGTATATATTTTATGTTCAGGCCTGTTTTTTCTGTGGATACATGGTTGCAACAAGCAACACAACAACAAAGACAAAGTCAAGTGATTAAAACAAACACAAGATAGATCTCTTAAAGGCTTTTAAAAATCTACTGATCATATATAGACGAAACAATTTTCTGAAGTGTTGTTAGAAACTGCTAAAGCACTGAAAATAACTACTAGTTGCCACTCTGAATTGATTCTCTGCTCCACAGCAATGTCTGTCACTAACTTCAGTACATCAGAGCTTCTGACGAGTGTGTGTAAAGGGGAAGGGGGCGACAGAGGGAAGGTGAAGGGACGACCTTTGACTGACACTTACCCCAGGAAGGAAGGTGAAGAAGTTGTACTTCTGGTTGTTAATGACATTCTTCGGGTACCTCTGCTCCCTTTTTTCTGGGTGGCCGAGCCACACGGTGCGGGGACGGAGGTCCCCCATACCACAGCATCTTGACCATGGACAGCAGCTGAAAGTAGAAGGCAGGGAAATATTAAGTCAGTTCATCTTTAATGATTCAATAGAAATCATGCTGACACACAGGGACACAAACAATTCAATGATAGTCATTCTTTATTAAAATTTTAAAGAAAATACCCTGCTTTTTATAATCATCATCTTTTTATCATCTTGCAGTCATACAAAGCTCCAAGTCTAGAAAACAAATATGAACACTTTTCTGGAAAATAAAGTGCCATGTCCTTCTCTCAACCAAAACAAAACATTCAACATCTACACTTCTTTAGCTCTGGGGCTGATTTCAGCCCAGTGGTGGAAGGTCATCTCCCAATCAGGAGGATCGGGGGTTTGATCCCCTGGGCAGGACATTGTTTCCCGTTACTAGACTCAATATGCTGATCAGTGTAAGAGTGAAAATATAAAAGTGTTGTGTATAAAGTACATAACAAAAAGAATTGCATGTGTGTGTGTGTATGTGTGTGTGTGACATGCTGTCTGTCACTGCCATTGCTGTTTGTTTTGGACTGTGTGTCACTTATTATTCAGCATGTCAGGTCTATACTGGTGTACCATCACCAGACACTCCTGCAACTTTGAGCATATGGTATAGTGACATCTAGTCTAGCAATCATGGGTAAGACTGCCGACCTGACTGCTGTCCAGAAGACCATCATTGACACCCTCAAGCAAGAGGGTAAGACACAGAAAGAAACTGCTGAATGAATAGGCTGTTCCCAGAGTGCTGTATCAAGGCACCTCAGTGGGAAGTCTGTGGGAAGGGGAAAGTGTGGAGAAAACGCTGCACAACGAGAAGAGGTGACCGGACCCTGAGGAGGATTGTGGAGAAGGGCCGATTCCAGACCTTGGGGGACCTGCGGAAGCAGTGGACTGAGTCTGGAGTAGAAACATCCAGAGCCACCGTGCACAGGCGTGTGCAGGAAATGGGCTACAGGTGCCACATTCCCCAGGTCAAGTCACTTTTGAACCAGAAACAGCGGCAGAAGCGCCTGACCTGGGCTACAGAGAAGCAGCACTGGACCGTTGCTCAGTGGTCCAAAGTACTTTTTTCGGATGAAAGCAAATTTTGCATGTCATTCGGAAATCAAGGTGCCAGAGTCTGGAGGAAGACTGGGGAGAAGGAAATGCCAAAATGCCAGAAGTCCAGTGTGAAGCACCCACAGTCAGTGATGGTCTGGGGTGCCATGTCAGCTGCTGGTGTTGGTCCACTGTGTGTTATCAAGGGCAGACAGGCCCAGACATCAAGGCCAGACATCAAGGGCCAGTACGTACAGGTCCTTCTCAAAAAATTAGCATATTGTGATAAAGGTCATTATTTTCCATAATGTAATGATAATGATTCAGATTCATTGCACACCAACTGAAATATTTCAGGTCTTTAATTGTTTTAATACTGATGATTATGGCATACAGCTCATGAAAACCCAAAATGCCTGTCCCAAAAAATTAGCATATTTCATCCCACCAATGAAAGACAAGTGTTTTTAATACAAAAAACGCCAACCTTCAAATAATCATGTTCAGTTATGCACTCAATATGTATGTATATATACGTATAATATGTATGTATATATGTATGTATGTATGTATATATACGTACGTACGCACGCACGCACACATACATACATATACATATATTAGGGGTGTAACGGTACACGTGGGTATACCGAACCGTTTCGGTACTGCATGTTCGGTTCGGTCCACGTGCGTACCGTTTCGTTTTTTTTTTTTTTTTTAATTAATTAAATTTTATTAACAAGAGATTATGCGCTGTGGAACTAAAGTTCCTAAGCGTGTTTCAGCACGGCGCTATTATCTTGCAGCATGCGCAGCATTATCATTAGCTTTTTGTTGCGGTCTCCTGTTTGGGAACATTATGGCTTTCTTGTTAAAAGACAAGTGAACAAATGCAAAGCTGGGCGTCGACGTTGTTTCACGGAGATTGGATCTGCAGCAGCAGCACGTCTAACTTGTTAACTCACTTGAAACGACGTCATCCGAACGTGAACGTCTCTTCTTGCAGCCTGTTGCAAAGACCGGTAATAGCAGCATTTAAACTAGAAAGTTCCTGGAGAAACTTTGACGGGGACTGCCTATTTATTATTAAATTATTATTATTAATGAATATAATTAATAATAATAATAATTAATTATTAATGTCATTGATTTATTAATTATTATAAACTATTAATATATTTGACAATAATGTTGATATTAATAAGCAATATTAAATATAAATTATTAATATTAATAATTATTAATGTTATTATTTGTAATTCTTAAAATGAATCATTAATGATTTATGTTAATTATTTTTACTAATTAATAATAATAATGGGTGATAATAGGTGCCTTCCATGCATGTTGAACCAAAATGGCTCCCGACGTTACTCAGTTTCTTTGAAAAGTTTTCTCCTATTCATTTCATATGGGAAATTTGTCATTTTCGTTAGCAAAATATGTCGCCATGGTAACGGCAATTGCCAATAAAAATAATAGCACACATCTTGGAGTCGGGCCGGTCGTTTGGATATAACTTTTGTGGGGGTCCACTTTGCGGTTTGGGCCGCATTAAAGTTGAAAAAGATACACTTTTCAGGTGTAGAATAATAAGTGGGCAGTCACCAACTAGTTCCTGGAGTTGGTGAAATATTGTGTCTTTGTTCGCAAATTACTTCGCCATGATAACTCGAAATGCCAATAAATGTAATATCACACATCACGGGGCCAAGCCAGTCGTTTTGATATAACTTTTGTGGGGGTAAACATTGTGGTTCGGGCCGCATTAAGGGAGATAGAAATGTAGACACACTTCCGAGGTGTAGAATTAATAGGTGCCGTCCCCAACAACCTTTATCAGGTCATTCAGATCGGTCCAGAGCAATAAAACAAGCTGTAGGAGTTTTGAAAGCTCTGGATCTACGTTTCTGTTGTTGATGCGCCAGCTTTAAAGTTCTTGAGCCCCACTACAACATCCCATCACATCAACACTTCAGCCAAAAAGTTGTAGCAGCACTTTATGAAAAAGCTAAAACTGATCGTCAACAACCCTGGACCAGATTAAAGCCCTGCTCTGATGATCATGATGACTGAGAGATTCAACCACCTCTTAACAGAAATGATGGCCGTTCAAGAAGAGGTATTGATATTTTTTTATTATTATATAATTAACTTTTTTTTTTATTATAATCTTATTAACTCTTTTTTTTTTTTTTTACCTCTTTGTGTTTTTATTTCCAGTCTGGGACAGAGGTAACAGCTGCAAGTCTTCTTCCTCTTCAGGGAAATCATAAATCACCTCCAGCTAAGAAGTGTGTGATGACTGAACTCTGAACTTCTCCAGGGACCTGTCCCACCTGTGGGAGCAGGTCCAAGAGGTTGTGAGTAATGATGAGGCCAAATACAGTCACACTGCAAAATGATCAAAGCTCTACCTCTTTATTCCTGCTGCCTGTTGGTAGTGAGAGGTTTTCTCCACGGCTGGAGATATTTACAGCAACTAGATCTGAGCTTTTGGCAGAAAATGTGGACAAGTTGGTCTTTTTGGCCAAAAACTTAAAACTTGACTAGTTAAGATTGTAAACTGGTGCTGCTTGGTGTTCTGGTTCTGACTGTTATTGTATTATTAAGATTTTTATTCTTGTTGGTAGGGGTGCGAATCTCTCAGTGTCTGGTGATCCGATTTGATTCCGATTTTTGGTGTCACGATACAATTTAAAATCGATTTTTCAATTCAGAAACGATTTTTCTATTGAAATGGTCATAAATTTTGTTTCATTTATGTAACTGACAAGCTGAAAAGATTAAACAACCATGTAAACAAATAGAACATTTATTTAAAAATCATTTTAGGTTCCTTAGTGTATCAAATATTTTTTATCCATTTTATATTTCTACCAAAAATACGAAAAAATATAGGAGTGCATAAAATTCTGTAACTTAAATTACCAGTATTAGGTTAGCTTAGCTGCCTGAATTTTTCTAAAAATAAAAATAAAAATCTAGGAACAAATAATTCAACCATCCATCTTTATCCACGTCTTCCTTTTCAAGTCACGGGTGTCACTGGTGCCCATATCAGCCATCACTGGGTGAGAGGTGGGGGACAACACGTCTCCAGTCCATCACGGACAAATAATTCAAAATATATAAATACAAAAGTCAACATACATAGTATATTAACCTTTAATTCAAAATAAAATACAGACTTCAGTTATTTTTAACCATATTGCTCTAACATTTGTTATATTTTCAAAACTTAACCTAATATGAAATATACAGACTTCACAGTCTTAACCATATTGATTCATATTTAGAAAATCTTTAACACAATTTCAAACATGTGCAAGTTTGCACAAAAACCTTGTTGAATATTTCTTATCTAGACTGGTCCTATGGTTTTGATCTGCTCAGAGACGGGATTATAATGAAATTATGACCCGGTTCTGACTGGGTTAAACTGGGCCAGCAACTCTAAAAAAAAAAAGACTCCATGGGATTCAATATCCGTCAAGGAATAGTTTAATCTGCTTGCTACATCACGTAGAAAAGGCTTTTGGAGCACCGTCTCATATTTCCTAACACGTCATAAGCACATAAGATCCACTGAGATCACACTTAGCCACGCCCCCTCATACACTGACAGGTTGAGCTCCCCTTCTGCGAAGGCGGAGTCTTAGGACTATATAAATGAGTAATGACACGGGACATCCGGGCTCTTCTTCCGGGTCTGTGAACGCGTCACAGACTGGAGAGTCCAGCTCTGTAAATTGTAATCTTTTTCTGCCTTTTTTAATATAATTGATAAAACTTAATTGACGTTTCCTTGATTTATTGATCAGTATGAGTTGCCACTTCTGAGGGAGGTTCGAGCCGGGGGAGAGACGTGGGCTGGAGGGGGTTTCCGGGTCTGGTGGCCCGCAGCCAGCTCCTGTCTTTAACAACCTCTTCTGAACTGTAATTTATAAACCATAAACTGTATCATTTAGAACTGGCTCCAGGTGATGTGTCTCATCTGTCCTCTTCCACCTGTTAAAAAAACAAATTACATTAAGTTTGTTGTATAACTTGTTTATAAGTTTTAGTATAATATGAGAAAAAACAGTTACCTTTGAGCTGCAGCTGCATCAGAGCTTCTCCCATTCGTTGTCTCGTGGTCAAGTTGTGGTGCTGCTTCATCGCAAAAAAAATCTACATGAAGGAATAATGTACATTGAATCCATCCATCCATCCATTATCTTTACCTGCTTTATCCACTTTGGGTCAAGGGGGTCGCTGGTGCCCATGTCCAGCAATCACTGTGCGAGGGGCGGGGGACACCCTGGACGGGTCTCCAGTCCATCACAGGGACACATAGAGACAAACGAGACAAACAACCATTCACTCTCTCACTCACACCTAGGGACAATTTAGAGTTACCAATCAGCCTAACATGCATGTTTTTGGTCTGTGGGAGAAATCGGAGCACCCGGAGAAAACCCACGCATGCACGGAGAGAACATGCAAACTCCACCCAGAAAGGCCCCTGGACCGGGGTTTGAACCAGGGACCTGCTCGCTGAGAGGCAGCAGCTCTACCAGTTGCGCCACCGTGCTGCCGCTTCGCTTTCATCTTCCGTGAATTTTGACGTATTTCCAAAATACTGGACCGCAATTTTATTTTACACTTCTTGTAAACAAATTTGATCTTGTTAAGCTCTGTCTTCCCCCGGAACATTGTAGGATATGAAATTATTTTTAAAGACAAAGAGACTGGTTGAAAAGCGCTGTCTCCCTCCTCCATGCTAGCAGGCTCTATTCAGATAAAGGGAGCTAGCTAACTAGCTTGCTGTACGGTGGCCTACATGGCTCAATTCTACGGCGGCCAAACAGCGAGTAGGAGCGGAAAAAATATAAAACTTAAATGCATTTTTAAATCGATTTTTGGACCTTTAGAAACAATTCAGAATCGCCAGGACTAAGAATATAGATTCATCAAAAAATTGATGTTTTTCTGCACCCCTAATTGTTAGTATAGTTTATTTATTGTAAAGAGTGCCGTTTATTTAAAGTATCATCCAAATGGGTTGCTTGCTTTTATTTGTTTTTATACAAACGTATTGTTTACTTGACATATTTTCAAAATAAACATTTTGTAGGTCTTTATTTTGGCCTTTTTTATATACTGAAAAAGAACCGAACCCTCCCTGAAACTGAACCGAACCGAAATGTGATTTTAGCATACCATTACACCCATAATATATATATATATATATATATATATATATATATATATATATATATATATATATATATATAGGCACTGTTTTTGTATGACAACACATTCATTCAACCTTTATTTATACAGCTTAGTCTCACTGAACCTCGAGGACTCATTTACAAGAGAGACCTCTTTTTAACAAAGAATGATGGATGACAGCAGTAGACAACAATGACAGCACAGTGACAAGTATGCCTGAAGCGCAAGCACAATGTTATGACATCATACACGCCGCTGAGTTTAGATTTGTAAAAATTTACAAATTTGCACTGTTCAAGTGTTGTCATTGTGTTTAAGAGAGAACATGTCATGAATAAATTTGACATTGAACATAATCCAAGTTGAAGTGTTAAATCATTTTCAGCCACCTTTTTGGCATCTGTATTTGGTAGCAGGCCAAACTGACAAAGAGCATTCAGAATAATGTAGTATTTTAATTCCACAGCAGAGAAAGCTATGTAGCCTATGTAAGCAAGTATAGGGGGAAAAAAATTGGTACTGGTATCAGTTATTGGCCAAATAAGTTTTAACATATCGGCCATACATTTATTTATATTCAGTGTTTCCCCTAGATAACTTGCCATGGCGGGGCGTTCATCTCGTCCGTGATTTTTGTCTGGGGGGGGCTGGAACGGAGACTCGTCCTAAGCTGCGCAGCGCGCTGTTCAAACCAACAGTTCTGGGGGACACAGAGGCAGCCACGTTCTGTTTGTACTGACAGTTTTAGAGCAGGGGGTGTGAGAGGACAGATATAAATATGTTTGTCATATATATATATATATATATGACAAACATATATATATGACAAACATATATA